TTGGCGGGAGATAGACAGACCCCTAAACACCTCCCCCTTCTGTAGCCAAAAGCTCTCCTTGCCCATCCCGGTCTGGCCGGGCGTAGCAGGGCAGTGGCTGGAAAGGGACAGTTATACGACCGGGCATTTGTCCTGCAGGGATGAGCCAGGCCCCAGCTTCCCTGGACACAGTGTGGGGCACCCTGCCCCATCCCATGTTCCTGCCCATACGGGGGAACTGGTTTGGCCCTGCCAGCTGCCTCGGTTTACCAAATGGTTTGAGCCTTGCAGCTGCCCCCGCACGCCGCATAGGCTGCTCCTTCAAGAGCTTCCAGGCAAGGGGTTTTATGAGGTTTGATCAGCCGAAAGGGGGGGGCTGGAATCCCAGCCAGCAGCCAGGGGCAACAGGCCCAGGTAGGGGCTCTGATGACCGGTCTCCCCGCTGGGGGAAGCAGGGACAGCTCCGGGAGGGGTAGAAGAGCAGCTCTGGGCCTGTCCCCCGCAGCATTGGGAGAATCCCCTTCGCACCCCTCTGCTGCCAGCAGCTTAGAGCCAGGCTACCCTGGTGCTGCACCCGCTGCCACTGTGTCCCCCCCATCCCCCCCAGACAGAACGCCACGTTACAAGGGCGGCAGGTGGCAGGGCGGGCTGCGCCGCAGGGGGCCCTGGCGTGGCTGCAGCTGGGTGGCTTGGGAAGGCCTGGATCAGTCGAGTGACTAATTCGGCACGTGTCACTGTATTGCCCACGGGCGGCGGGGGGGATTGAAACCCAAACTCATTTCCCACAGGCGGCAACCAGGGAAAAGCGACGATTGTCAGCCTTTGCTGTAAGCGCCCCCTCCCCATGCTTGGGCGCCAGCTCCCTCCTCTTGGGGAGCCTGCTGGGAGAGGACTTAGGGGCCCTTCTGTGGAGAACAAAACTAGCCCCCAGCCTGGGAGCTGGGATGACCCGTGGGAAAACTCAGACATTTTTTCCCGGGGGGCAAAGGAGAGGCAGGCAGAGCTGCAGCTACACAAAGCCCCGAACGTGGGCCCCAGCCCACTCATCCAGCCTCCCTCTGCAGAGCCCGTACTAGCGAGCTCAGTAGCGGGGCCGTCGGGGAGGGGAATCCAGCATACCCCGCTAGTTAAATACACAGCCATTGCAACTGCTTTAGCATAGCATGGCCAGGAGCCAGGTCCCTCCCCCCACCTCCACGTCACCGCCCCACCCACCTTCCCCCTGCCAAGGGACACATTTCCTCTGCTAGAGGTTCCCCATTCAAGCCAGCGCCCCTGGAGGCAGGGGCGAGGGAGCTGAGCTAGGAAATCGCCCTTCCTTGTTCCCAGGAAGGGCACAGGATGGTGCAAACAGGTCACAACCTAAAAAACCCCCCAGCAAATAATCTTGCTGCACCACTTACCGTGTTCGATGTTTCTAAAGTTTTTTTTCGGTTACAGGCTAACACGGCTACCCCTCTGAAACCAGGCATCGCTGGGAAATGGGGGATGGGGGTCTTGCAGGAGGTGCCATGGGAAAATCAGCTCAGCAAAGGGGCAGGTGACGGGTTGCTGAAAGCCTTGGTGGAAGGACATTTAAAAAGAGAATTTCAACCCCCAACCTGCCCCTAAAACCCATTTACCGTTGCCCCAGGGGCTGAGCAGCGTTGCCCCCCGCAGCCTCACTCCAAAGGGCACGGGCCCTGTGGAAAGATTAGTTTGTGTCATAAGCTTCCTATTTTTCGAGGCCGCTATAAGATTTGGGGGGCTTAGCGCCCGGGATTAAAACAGCAAAGTCGTCTTGCTTAGCCAGGCTGCTAATGCCACTTACTGCCTGGGAGCTGCGATTTTCATTAAGGGCGTCAGGAACAATTAGCCGGGGGAAATTAGGGCAGGGTTGCTCTTAAATAAAAATGGAGGCTTATTCAATCAGTCAAATGAATTTCCAATCAGCGTGCTGCGCTCCCCTCCCCCGCAGGCATGGTGGCGGCGTTAAGCCCCATATGTGTAAGTGGTAATGGGGGGAGACCACATGTGCACCCTCCGGGAAGGAAGTGGCCGTTCCCAGAGGGGTTATCGCCCTGCCCATGCCAAGGGACAGACTATCCTACCGCTGCTTGGCTGGTGCTTTAATACAAGGTGCCGGGAGCGGGGCGGGGGTGTGTGTCCACACACGGGCAGTTCGCTGGTTTCGTTCCAGTAGAACGTGGAGCCGTGTCGGCAAACACTTGGTGCTGCATGGATGGCAGGAGAGACCTTCCCCTTCAAAGAAACCAGCCCGAACGCCGTTCCCAACCCTTGGCGGATCAGAGGAGGGTGGGGGTCACTGGCAAGGCCCCCCCCCCAAACCCAACAAGACACAGTGCAAGGCAGAAGTGGAACTTTACTCCCTGGTTCAAAGCAAAATGCCACATCCAAGTCCCCTAACAGCGCCGGCAAGGTCCCCGCTCGTCCGTTGGGGATCGGGCCCTGCGGCCCAGCGCTGGGCCCAGGCGGGCAGTGACCGGCCCAGGAAGAGTTGTAGAAATGCAGGGGTGGCCAGGATCTCCAGCCATCAGCAAGTCCTGCCCCCTGTGCTGAGGCAGGACCAAGGAACCCAGAGCCAGCCCTGTCCAACCTGCGAGGGGGATTCCACCACGTCCCGGGGCGCCCTCTCCAGAGCGTCACCATTAAGAAGTTTTTCCTAATAACTAACCTAAATCTCCCTTGCGGCCGAGTAGGCCCCCGGCTTCCTTTCCACCTGCTGCGGACACGGAGGCCGATGGAGCGCCGTCCTCTTGAGACGAGCCCTTTACAGAGCGGAAGGGTGGCACCCGTTTCTCTCAAGGCTAGACGGGCCCCGTTGGCACCGTTCCTCAGCAGCCGGGTTTCCTAACCCCGGTCTCTCTCCAGGGAGAATCCTAGGGCGGGAAGAGACCCCAGGAGTCAGAGTCCAAAGCCCAGCTCAGTCATCCCAGACGGGACTTAGTTCCTGCCCAGCTTTGGTACAGTGGCCCGGGCGAACAGTGGGGCTAGGGCAGCGTCAGCGACACCCTTGCGTTGCCCGTGGGCGGGGAGCCGGGGGGGGGACCCACACTCATGTCTCAAGTTGCAGCGGGGCAGGGCTAGGCTGGATATTAGGAAAAACGATTTCCCTAGGCGGGTGGGGAAGCCCTGGGATGGGTCCCTAGGGAGGGGGCGGAGTCTCCTTCCCTCGAGGTCTTTAAGTCCCGGCTTGCCCAAGCCCTGGCCGGGAAGATGGAGTCGGGGTTGGCCCTGCCTTGGGGCCGGACTCGCTGGCTCCCTGTAATTCTAGGTAACACACAACTCTCAGCCTTTGCCAGGAGCACCCCTTCCCCCGCCCCCCATGATTTGGAGCCAGGGCCACTAGGGAGGGGGCGGAGTCTCCTTCCCTCGAGGTCTTTAAGTCCCGGCTTGCCCAAGCCCTGGCCGGGAAGATGGAGTCGGGGTTGGCCCTGCCTTGGGGCCGGACTCGCTGGCTCCCTGTAATTCTAGGTAACACACAACTCTCAGCCTTTGCCAGGAGCACCCCTTCCCCCGCCCCCCATGATTTGGAGCCAGGGCCATCCTGTGAGGCCAGACCAGTGCTGAGGAGAGCAAGACCGTCACCCCCCCCCCCCC